CTGTTGTAATGTCTTACAGTCTAGAAAAAATTGATCAAAATGAAAATGGTGGTTGTTCAATTTTCTCTGGTTTGTTTGTTGTCTTACAGTTCAATAATTTACACTTGTTGTAAAATGCCTAGTTGTGCTGATTATCTTCTACCATTTTTACTTCACTTTTTGTATTTTTGATAGCTAATTGTTTTATTGTTCTGTTAGATCATCAATTGATGTTATTCAATTGTTTTTGAGTTGTGTTTCTTTATTGTTCATCTTGATTTTGATCAGTTAAATATGTTATATCAGCATAAAAAAATGTTTGTTAAATCTGCATGTTGTAATTTTTTTAATAATTGCTAATTCAAACCCTTGTTTCATATTTTGTGAATTGCAGACTCAACTTGGTCTTACTTTTTTCTTTTTTTCTTTTTTTTCCTTTTTTGTGATGAACTAATTCAAGGTTGTGGCAAATCATTTGAAATTGTATCTGACATTATTTTGAGATGCCATCTAAAAGTCCTGATTCATCCGATCAAGACAAAGAACCATTTGTTGAAGTTGATCCATCTAGATGGTTCGGTCGGTACAGTGACCTTATTGGTGCAATTTTCTCTGGATTGTTGCTGTTTGAATGTCTTACAATCCAAAGAAAATGGGTCAAAATAAAAATGGTTGTTATTTAATTTTCTCTAGGTTACTGTTGTCTAAATGTCTTACAGCCTAGAGACATTTTAATTTTTTCTAGTTTGCTGTTGTTTCAATGTCTTACAATCCAAAGAAAATTGAATTTTAATTTTCTCTGGTTTGCTGTTGTTTGAAAGTCTTGTCGTCCAGAGAAAATTTGTCAAAATAAAAATGGTGATTATTCAATTTTATCTAGTTTGTTTGTTTTCTGAATGTCTTACAGTCCAGAAAAAATTCGTTTAAAATGAAAATGATGCTTGTTCAATTTTCTTTGGTGTGATAAAAAACACAGAGAAAATTATAAGTAAACCATAGAAAATTGGTCAAGACACAGAATCCATAGAAATTCCAAATTTCTCTTCCGAATTCCAGAGAAAATTAGTCAAAAAACAGAGAATCCAGAGAAATTCTGAAGTCCAGAGAAAATTGGTTAAAACATAGAGAATCCAGAGAAATTCTAGAGAGAAATTCTCCGAATTGAATTTTTTTTGAATCAATGTTAAGGAATCTTAGATATTATAAAAATATTTACTGTTTTTTATGCTATAAAATTTTAATACCATGGACCTTAAAAAAAATCCGCTTTATATTATTAGGGATTCTAAAAATTGTAAACAAAAACCTGTTTCGTGTTAATTTTTATTTTCAAAAAAAATATAATCAGTTTACAAATTTTACTAAATTCATGTAATTGAAAATATTACTAGTTTTACGCGTTAAAAAATTAAATTTCATTTATTTTTTCTTGTCTAATTCTCTCCAACTACCTGCCCGCAGCTCATTACCATTATGGACCACCTCCACCTTTGATGGGGTTGGTATTACGTGGATGGGGTTGCTATTACATGAAAAGAGACATATTTATTCAAGTCCGGTTTAGATCTAATATCGAGTCTTTATATTTTTAAGTATGATCTAAAAAATAACAGCAATGCTAGGTATCATGAAAAATCTTTCATGAAAATAATCATGAAAGTTTTGTGACCCTTGGATTACACGTAGAATAAAGCACCACACACTAATCAAGGTAATTCAAGGATCATAAATCATTCATGATCATTTTCATGAAAAAAATTTCATGATCCCTAACTTTTCTCAAAAAATAATTTTAAATTTTAAACTTATATGTTAAAAAAATTAAAATATTTTATAATTAAATTTAATCGCACATTATATTTTTTAAATAAATGCATTGATATCATTATAAAATTAAAAGATTTTGTATATAAATTAAAAGATTTTTTAAATAAATTCAATCGCACATTACCTCAAATGTTAGTTTTAGGAGTTGTTTGGAATATCCTAAATAAGTATACTTTTTGTCTTTTTTGACTAAAAAATTGAGAATAAAAATATATAGATGTTTGGATTAACTTTTTGACTTTTTACAAAAAAATGTGTGTTAAAAAATTGTATAAATAAGTGTATAAGAGAAGTTTTAGTGAAGTAGACAGTATGGCCAATACAGTCTTGGCAGAGTAGTGGCTAAGCAGGAGATAGGAAATGATTGTCTCCTTTTCGGGCTTGAATTGGACGATACTGTTCGACCCGTGGGGGCCCACCACAGGTCTCGTTTTGCTAATCGAAACCGTTAATGTGTAGAACTCATCGAGTACTATATGTTTGTAAAAAGTCACGTTGATCGGATATCGATAGCTATCTGATCATATTAGTTTTTTGTCAACCGTTAACTATAACACCATCCATTTTTATACAAAATTAATGTGATCATATAGTTAGCGATATCTGATCAATGTGAATTTTCATAACTATATAGTACTCGACGAGTTCTACACATTGAACGATTCAGATTATCAAAACGGAACCTGTGATGGACTCTCATGGGCCGAACAACACCATGTTGTTTGTGCACCCTGCCTGTGCAACTTTTTCAAAAAAGTCAGCAAAGTTTGTGAATAGACAGGCACCAATTGTAATAATTAAATGTAAGATTATTTTTTTTTATATTTTTTTGGATGAATAGTGATAATTTTTTAATTTTTTGACTTTTTTCATGTGTCCCAAACTAGGCCTTAATAAAATCAATAAAAATAAAATATAAATCTCAACAAAAAAAAATATGTTAATGTTTTATAAATAAATAATTTAATAGTGTGCTGGGTTGGATTAAAAATATAAATCCCAAACCTAGCCTATTAATATTTTGGAATGAAAATGTTGGCATACCGATTTTAGGGACTAAGCCTCCGTTTGGGAAGTGGGTTAGCTTTTTAACTTTTTAACTTTTTAGACTATTTTAGCCTGGGTTAAAAAGTTTGGTTTGGGAAGGACTTTTTAGTTTTTTTGACTTTTTTTGTCAGAGAAGAGTGTAATGATTATATGTTGGATGTGATGTTTTATTTTTTATGACTAAATAGCCTATTTTATCTTTTTATAGCTAAAATAGCCAAAAAAAACCTGGAATAACTCTTTCCAAACGAATCCTAAAGCAACCTTCTCAAACCTTAGAAAAATAGAATTAAGCCGGATGGACTGGGACGAGTCAACGGACCAATACCTACTCATACGACCACTTTTAGAGCTGATAAGTAACCCTAACCATCCCATCGAATTTATTGTCAAACAATATTTTTTAACCAATAATATTAGAGACTTAATTTTGTATTCATAAATCAGTTCCGATTCAGACCCCCACTGAAATCAACCCCCATGACCCCCAGCTGAGCTGGTAACTGTCATTAGTGTGTGAAGAATACTTGCACTGTGATAAGGTGTGATACACGCACTGTTAGATAAAAAAACAAAAACAAAAAAATAAGCGCCCTAAACCTGAACTTTCACTCTTCCCTCGTCCGTCTGTCTGCCCCTGTCCCTCTTCCCGCTTCTCTCCTCCGTCCACCATAGCTCTCTTTCCCAGAAAACGACGGCCATAGCTCTCCAGGAACTTGCTGTTTCTCTCGCTTCGCTTCGTCTCTGTTTTGATCTGAGATTTTTGTATTTGGGACATACCCATGTGGTGAAAGGATAAACCCATCTCTCCTTTTTGTCAGTGGTGATGATCTTGGGGAGTTTGTGATATATCATCAAAAGGGTTTCTCTTGTTTGAAGAAGGCCTTGTTAATCAAACACACCCTTACCCATTTCTCTATTCTCATTGTGAGATCCTATTTTAGTGCCCTCACTGTTTCTCTTTGGAAATTCTCATTGCAGATGTGGGTTTGTGACTTAAAGGTCATTTATGTGTGTAAAATGCCCAAATACACAATATCCATAATTGAGTTTTGAGGTTAAATTGTTGTGAAGATGCAATCTAGGCTAGTGGTGTTAAAGGAAGGCAAAGACCCTTCCACCGCCATTATTAGAACAAGCTAATCTCGGGGTTCACCATTGAGAATTCTGCAATTTCTATTAGTCTTTTTGGGCATTGGCATTATCTTTTTGGGTATGGACATTACATAACCTGCCTGTTTTGGAGAAAAGAAAAACATAGACTTAATCATTTTTTTTTTTGTTGTTGAGAAATAGAGAGCACAAATCAAGTTTTTTTCAATTTGTTAATGTGTTCTGTGTTCCAGTTTTAGAAATAGAGACTTAATCAGTTTCAGAAATAATCAGTTTTTCAATTTGACAAATAGAGAAGTAGAGAGACTTAATCAGAATGAAAGAGGACGTTAGGCGCCCGAGTGAAAGAGAGGAGCTGTCGAGGGAGAACTTTGGAAGGATAGAGAAAGAGGAGAACTTTGGAAGGATAGAGAAAGAGGGGCTGTCGGGCGTCGGAGTGAAAGGGATGTTGGGCATTGGAGTGAGAAACAGAGAAAGATCGGTGTGAATGGGAGGAGCTGTCGGGGGAGAACTCTGCCTAAGTGATATCCCCCTATGTGATAGAGGTGAGAGATCTGTATCTCTCTGATAAGATAATGAGGCAATTTTGAATTCTGAATGAGAAGAGAGAAAGAGGGGGTGCGTGGCTTTGAAAGTCACGGGACCGCTCACGTGGCTTTCCAGCTCAGCTGGGGGTTGTGGGGGTCGATTTATGAGGGGGTCCAAAGCATTTCTGTTCATAAATATATCTACAATGACAATGATATGATAAGAGTAATGAGTCTTACATCATCAAGTGTGTAATTGATTAAAAAAAATAATAATAACATTTATCCGATTACATCATTTTGAATTGGAATTGTGAAAATTTTATGAATGTATCAAATATTTTCCTTTTCAAAAATATGTATCACATATTTTTTTTACATCAAAAAGAAAATTTTTTTTTTGACATTATTATAAACAAAACAAAAAAACTAATACCAAACATAAAATTAAATTTTAATTTTCAATTTTATTACAAACTCTCTCTATTTCTCTATATATTTTTCCAAATAAATTTACAGAACAGAGACTGAGATCCACTGCAACAATCATGGCAGCGAACAGACACTCCTCTCTCTCCTTCTCTTCTTCTCTCTGCTCCGTCGTCTTCCTCCCCAGAGGCGACTCCCTCATCTACCTCGTAGCGCTCCTCTCCATCTTCTCTCTCCTCGTCCACCACCTCTCTCTCGCCGACTCTCACTTCGAAGGCTTCGACCTTGACGACTCCGACGAAACCCTAGAAGACGACTCTCTCCAACTCCCCCATCTCCCTCGCCGCTCTCCTCCTCCCACTCTCTCTCACTCCGACCCCGAACCTGACCCCGACTCCCATCCAATCCCGATCCAATCTTCCCTTGATTCCGATCTACCTCCCAAACCCTCCAAAACCTCGTTCGAGTACTGGGACGAAGACGAATTCGAAGGCCTCCCCGTCGAACAAACCCTAGAAACACCAAAATCTACCGAAAATGTCACTCCCGTTGGTTCCGATTCGGATTCGGAATCGAAATTGGATCAGAAGCCTGTTAAAGCTAAACAATCGTTTGTGGTTGAGATTGTGTGTGGTTCGTTTTTGATTATGTTTGGAATCAATTTTTTTACCGGGAAGAGAGAGAACGAGAACATTGCGTTGGCTTGGGTCACGAAATTCGCAGTCAAAGACTCGATTTTTGAGAAGAATTTTAGTTTGTTGGGTGTTGGTGATAGTAAGGATGAGGATTCGCCTTTGTTGTTGAAGGAAGGACAGAACGTGTTCAAGTTTTATGCGAGTGGGAGGCGATTTTGTCAGGGGTTGTTGGCGACGATGGAGCTTCAGAGCCGGCACGATTTGATATCGAGATTGTTCAATATGGTTGTGCCGTGTAAGGATGAGATTACATTTGAGGTTTTCATGAACGATGATGCAATGGATCAGGTGGTTTTTGCATTGGCGAAGAAGAAGGCGGCGAAAACTATGCAGAAGGAGGTGAGGGATCTTCAAAGGTTTGCGAGTTTAGTATCTCCGCCGAGTAATAGGAAGTGGGTTGTGGATGATTTGGCTGTTATTTCAGAGTCAAAGGAGGTGGCTGGAGATTTGATCACGGAGGTTGTGCTTGAGCAGGTAGATATTCAAACAGTACTGGAAACAAGTTCTCATTTTTTTCTTTTCTTTTCTTTTTTTAACCCCGCAAGTTTATGTTTTGTGCCATTCCTTTTACTTCCTCCAAGAATCTGTAATGTAATTTAGAAACTGATCATATTTTAGGGATAAGATGACTGTTACATGATTGATTGCTAACTTGGCGAAGAGTCAAGTGACCCGAGTTTTATAGAACAAGGTCTCTGTTGAGCAATCGATTTCATGTTGCAAATAAGTGTGGGGGTATTTTACATACTCACCCATCAAAAGAAAAGTCAGACCAAACAAGGGAAAGATTTTTTTCCAATCGAGTCGACTGATTTGATTTGGGGTCCATGTGATTCTTGATTAACTAACAAAGAGATTCTTTCGGACTTGTTTAGATCTTGTAGTCCCCAACATACTTGTTATGGTTTATGATTATGGTCTAAACAAATCTCAGGTCTAAATCCAAATCCAACAGTTGTGTGTGTGAACTCTTTGTTTCTTTTACCTAAATTAGATCTGAGAGGAGTTCAATTTCTTGTGACAAAGGGATTATGGAAATCTTTTTTCGCTTGCCTTGTTACCTGAATTTTGGTGTCCTATGTATGGAGTCTTTTGTGAATATAGTTCATGACTACTCAATGAAGTGTAGGCCATGGCGATTTGACTGTGAAGGAGCTGTGAACAGGGTCATTGGTGAAGGAGAAGATAAAGATTAATTAATCATGAGATGCATGTTGAATCACAATACAATTTTGAATGAGTTTGTGATCCGTATCTTTTTCCGTACGATATGGTACAAATTGTAAACCCAATTATAAAATATACTATGACTTGTTTAGTTACATTTTTTAGATAATGGGGCTGTTACACAAATACTGTGAAGCTTGTGAAAGATTCTGAAGTGTAAATAAGATTGTTGCAATATCAATTTGGGAAGACCGTTTCCAATTATGGGCTTGTGAAACTCGTATTTAAAGCGCTTTCATTGGCATGCTATTTTAGCATTTGTTAGCTTTTACTCATTAGATCTATTTCTAGTTCAGCATATGTGAAGTTGACAAAGAGATGAGAAGCGAGAGGATAGACTTCAGCGGAGACCTGACCTACTAGAGACCGCGGAAAACCCAATTCTGATATCATGTTAAAGCATCCAACTAAAAACCAATTGGCAATGAGTAGAGTATCCACTGGAGTATATGGACCAAACCTGGGTGGCTTATGAGGGCGAGGTGACAAGTCCAACAGTTTCAAAACTCCAACATGCCATTTTCTTATTTTTAATGGGGAATCAATTTACGAAAGCTTCATGAACATATATATAAGCTAATTTACAAATATTATGAACTTTTGAAACCACCCAAGCCACCCAAGCTTGGTCCATATACTCTAGAGGCTACTCCACTCATTTCCAATTAGTTTTGAGTTGGATGCTTTAACAGAAACCATCCTCTGCAAATGGACGAAGAGGTTTGGCATGCAGCATTTCATGAGAGAGAAATAAGGCTTGGTTTGATTTTTATCTATGGTTTGATTTGGGAGGACTCCTTGTGAATAGACACAAATTTTGTTGACTGGGGAGAGGACAGAGAGGTAATACCATAAGCTATCAGAGGATCTTTGTCTGAAAGGTCCTCCTAGGAGGTATAATCAGTTATCCATTCTTAGTCAGAGAATAGGAATGAGTTGTATCTCTGTGTTCTTTTGGTGATTAGTTGGACTACAGCATGACCTCCAAAGTGGGCTTTATCGATAGGAGTTTGATTAGATTATAGAGCTGTTCACATCAAGTGGAATGTGTAAATAGGACACAAACCACATTTTTAGATTTTTTTCCTTGTAAACAAAAGTTATTGTGGAAAGAGGAAAAGATGTATAAACAATTTAGTCTTGTACAAGGAAAGGAAAGAAGAAAAAACAGACACATGGATTCAATACACTTCCACGAACAATCAAGTTATTTGAACTTTTCTAATTATGAGATTCGGAAATTTCAGTTCCTATTTCCTTGGAAACATGAACTTAAGAATATTTAGTTAATGATATGTTTCAATTGTTGTTGTTTTTTCTTTTTAACGGTCAGAGAAGGTTATACAAAGTGAAGGATTGGGCTTTATCAAAGTATGATTTTGGGGGTTTGAAAGAATGAATGATGAGTGTAACCGAATGAATGATGAGTACTGGTTACACTTACTGAGAAAAAGATAATACCTGAAATTGGTTGTATTTGTGACTCACCTAAGTACCTAATATCTAATTCAGCAATGGTCAATTGAGATGGTTGAACCAGGGCATTTGGCTTGATGGTTGTGTAACACCCTTTGTGGTGTAAGTTTGTGGGTTCGAGTCCTATGAAGAGGAGTTTGATACCGTTTGTGGTGGTTTGTTTCTACCCATTATGAGGTTTTTATGTAGCTAGTAGGGGTTGTTGGGCGGGGCTTTAGTGGTCTTGGTTATTAAGTAAGCCTTGTTGACTTTCTAGCTATTGTGGACTAGTGATTTGTTTGATGCTGTAATATTTCTCGTAATTGTAATTACTTTCCCATTGGTAGCAGGCAAGTGTTTCCTTGTTACTCCATGCCAACCCATTGGAAGAGAAGTTAACTGCATGGTTCATTCAGCCTCTAACAAGCTTGGGAGCTTGTAAATACATCCTCAACATGTCTATTTACACCCACATGTACATTTTGATAAGGTACAAGGTTTATAATGCATGAAGTGGGTGTAGTAAGAAATTAAGTAGCTGTATTTAGAAGCTCCCAACAAGCTCATTTTTGGGCTCGGTTATTTCTCATTGGTTGTTTGCTCAAAATTTATACTTCTGTGGGCTCGGTTTTGTGCCCTTAATATTGGTTGTTTGCCTAAAATGTATTTTGTATTGTGTATCTGATTTTACTGATGTTTTGGAAATTTATTTCTTTGAACAGCCACATAACCAAGCTCCTCAGCAATACTCTTTGCATAATATGGTTTACATTTGTTTATCTGCAGGTCTTTGGTGACAAAGCTTTTGAGAAATACGGGAAGGGTTTCATCTCAATGCATTTTTCTGATCAATACGTGGGTGCACACAAGAAGAAGCTGGTTTTCAAGTTCGCTCTCCCTGATGCAAATCACATGGCTGACATGACTCGATTGGTCGCTCTTGTTCCCCACTACGTTGATTTAATAGGCCGTCACAAGCTCAGTTCACAGGTGGGTCAGAAGATAATTATATTTTTTTTCAATAGAACTTAGGCATCATCAATTTGTCCTGACATTTTAAATCGGTATCTGTTCAATACAGGCTCGCAGCAAGACAGAAGCAGCCCGACAGAAGGCTGCCCAAGAGGCATACAAAGAATATCAAAACGCTAGACAAGAAGCATTGCAGAAAAAGAAGGCAGACCAGAGAAAGTTGATGGAGGAGGCCGAGGCAAAGCTCAGTGCAGAGGCACTTCGCAAGAAAGAAGCTAAAGAACGTGCTCGCCAAATGAAGAAATCAATGCCAAAAGTGAAGATGACCCGTGGTCACTAGAACTGTAGTGTTCTGTTTTGCTCCTTTTATAAGTCGGTTCTTAGTCATATCATCATTTTCTTAAATTTCCAGTTGGGTTAATTGGCTCCCCTTTCTTTCACGGCTGTGTACCTTTCTTTGTTGTTTGCATTTAGTTAGTGTTCAACATTACACCACATTGTTGTGGTTTTTTAATGATAGTCCAATTCAATGCTGATGAAACTTACTTGTTTGTATTGGTCTGGGAGCATGGTGTCAGTGTCAGTGTCAGTGTGCAGAGTTGGTCCTCCCAATATACTGAATAAATTACTCAGAAGTTGAGTTCATTCAGAGGTAGCCAATTCAATTTGAATTCTGTAGTAGTTGCTAACTCCTTCAATAACATCAACTTTGGGAATGGTCTACCAAAATTCTTACGAAAGTTGTAGCTGTCTGCTCTGGGCCTGGGATCGAAATATTATTCAAATAGTTATTCAGTGCCAGCTCTGGGTCTGGGATGGGAGTTATGCAATGCCAAACCAACGTGAAAAAAGAAACACATTTTTGTCCTCGATTTTTGTGACTCACAGGACCCACTTGTGTCTCGCAGAACTCGAGAGTTGTTAGGATGTGTTTGTGGTATTGCAGCAAGCGACATTGAATAAATTTTGTTTGGATTGGTTTGGTTGGCAGTATGCACACATACTGCACCAGCAATAATTTCTTGAATGAAATGGGAATCATATTCAATACAGTAACCATGAGTTGAAATCAACTGCACAGTGGGCATGTCCTGGAAAATTGAATGTCGTATCCATGTAGGGTTCCTGAGAACCAAAAAAATCACTACAAAATATTATCCGAGAATCGTCCACATGTAACCGCTATCAAAACAAAAAGATGAAAAGATCATTTTAGAAGATTAACAAAACCAGCTTACAAGAAGAATATCTGTTCTTTTAACATGTTTTCCATCTGATATTGTATATCCATATTACGCTTATCATCGAAAACGTACAAGTGAACACACCCTTTGTTTCTTTTACCTAAATTAGATCTGAGAGGAGTTCAATTTCTTGTGACAAAGTGATTATGGAAATCTTTTTTCGCTTGCCTTGTTACCTGGATTTTGGTGTCCTATGTATGGAGTCTTTTGAGAATATGGTTCATGACTTGTCAATGTCAATGAAGTGTCGGCCACGGCAATTTGACTGTGAAGGAGCTGTGAACAGGGTCATTGGTGAAGGAGAAGATAAAGATTAATTAATCACGAGATGCATGTTGAATCGCAATACAATTTTGAATGAGTTTGTGATATGTATCTTTTTCCGTACGATATGATACAAATTGGAAACCCAATTATAGAATGTACACTTGAATACTATGACTTGTTTAGTCACATTTTTTAGATAATGGGGCTGTTACACAAATACTGTGAAGCTTGTGAAAGATTCTGAAGTGTAAATAAGATTGTTGCAATATCAATTTGGGAAGACCTTTTCCAATTCTGGGCTTGTGAAACTCGTATTTAAAGCGCTTTCATTGGCATGCTATTTTAGTATTCGTTAGCTTTTACTCATTAGATCTATTTCTAGTTCAGCATATGTGAAGTTGACAAAGAGATGAGAAGCGAGAGAATAGACTTGGGCAGAGACTTGACATACTAGAGACCACGGAAAACCCAATTCTAATACCATGTTAAAGCATACAACCAAAAACCAATTGGCAATGAGTAGAGTATCCACTAGAGTATATGGACCAAACCTGTGGCTTATGAGGGCGAGGTCTGACAAATCCAACAGTTTCAAAACTCCAACATGCCATTTTCTTGTTTTTGATGGGGAATCAATTTATGAAAGCTTCATGAACATATATACAAGCTAATTTACAAATAGTATGAACTTTTGAAACCACCCAAGCCACCCAAGCTTGGTCCATATACTCTAGAGGCTACTCCACTCATTTCCAATTAGTTTTGAGTGGGATGCTTTAACAGAAACCATCCTCTGCAAATGGACGAAGAGGTTTGGCATGGGGCATTTCATGAGAGAGAAATAAGGCTTGGTTTGATTTTTATCTATAGTTTGGTTCGGGAGGACTCCTTGGGGAGAGGACCGAGAGGTAACACCATAAGCTAACGGAGGATCTTTGTCTGAAAGGTCCTCGTCGGAGGTATAATCAGTTATCCATTCTTAGTCAGAGAATAGGAATGAGTTGTATCTATGAGTTCTTTTGGTGATTAGCTGGACTACAGCATGTCCTCCAAAGTGGGCTTTATCGATAGGAGTTTGATTAGATTGTAGAGCTGTTCACATCAAGTGGAATGTTTAAATAGGACACAAACCACATTTCTAGATTTTTTTTCCTTGTAAACAAAAGTTATTGTGGACAGAGGAAACGAGGTATAAACAATTTAGTCTCGTACAAGGAAAGGAAAGAAGCAAAAACAGACACACTGATTCAATACACTTCCTAGAACAATCAAGTTATTTGAACTTTCTAATTATGAGATTCAGGAATTTCAGTTCCTATTTCCTTGGAAACAAAAACTTAAGAATATTTAGGTAATGATACATTTCAATTGTTGTTATTTTTTCTTTTTAATGGTCAGAGAAGATTATACAAATTGAAGGATTGGGCTTTATCAAAGTATGATTTGGGGGGTTTGAAAGAATGAATGATGACTACTGGTTACACTTACTAAGAAAAAGATTATATCTGAAATTGGTTGTATTTGTGACTCACCTAAGTACCTAACAGCTAATTCAGCAAGGGTCAATTGAGATGGTTGAACCAGGGCATTTGGCTTGATGGTTGTGTAACACCCTTTGTGGTGTGAACTTGTGGGTTCAAGTCCTATGAAGAGGAATTTGATACCCTTTGTGGTGGTTTGTTTCTACCCATTATGAGGTTTGTATGTAGCTAATAGTGGTTGGGCTTGGCTTTAGTGGTCTTGGTTGTTAAGTAAGCCTTGTTGACTTTCTAGCTATTGTGGGCTAGTGGTTTGTTTGATGATGTAATATTTCTCATAATTGTAATTACTCTCTTATCGATTGACAACAAAAAAAAGAAAAAAATTGAGATGGTTGAGACAATCATGGCAAAGACACAGATTTGCAGCATCTCTCGTTGGCAGCAGGCAGGTGTTTCTTTGTTACTCCATGCCAACCCATTGGAAGAGAAGTTAACTGCATGGTTGATTCAGCCTCTAACAAGCTTGGGAGCTTGTAAATACATCCTCAAAATGTCTATTTGCACCCACATGTACATTTCGATAAGGTACAAGGTTTATAATGCATGAAGTGGGTGTAGTAAGAAATTAAGTAGCTGCATTTAGAATCTCCCAACAAGCTCATTTTTGGGCTTGGTTATTCCTCATTGGTTGTTTGCCCAAAATTTATTTCTTTCTGTGGGCTTGGTTATTTCTCATTTGTGCACTTACTATTGGTTGTTTGCGTAAAATGTATTTTGTGTTGTGTGTCTGATTTTACTGATGTTTTGGAAATTTATTTCTTTGAACAGCCACATAACCAAGCTCCTCAGCAATACTCCTTGCATAATATGGTTTACATTTGTTTATCTGCAGGTCTTTGGTGACAAAGCTTTTGAGAAATATGGGAAGGGTTTCATCTCAATGCATTTTTCTGATCAATACGTGGGTGCACACAAGAAGAAGCTGGTGTTCAAGTTCGCTCTCCCTGATGCAAATCACATGGCTGACATGACTCGATTGGTCGCTCTTGTTCCCCACTACATTGATTTAATAGGCCGTTACAAGCTCAGTTCACAGGTGGGTCAGAAGATAATTATATTTTTTCCCAATAGAACTTGGGCATCATCAATTTGTCCTGACATTTTAAAATGTGATCTGCTCAATACAGGCTCGCAGCAAGACAGAAGCAGCCCGACAGAAGGCTGCCCAAGAGGCATACAAAGAATATCAAAACGCTAGACAAGAAGCATTGCAAAATAAGAAGGCAGACCAGAGAAAGTTGATGGAGGAGGCCGAGGCAAAGCTCAGTGCAGAGGCACTTCGCAAGAAAGAAGCTAAAGAGAGTGCTCGCCAAATGAAGAAATCAATGCCAAAAGTGAAGATGACTCGTGGTCACTAGAACTGTAGTGTTCTGTTTTACTCCTTTTATAAGTCGGTTCTTAGTCATATCGTCATTTTCTTAAATTTCCAGTTGGGTTAATTGGCTCCCCTTTCTTTCACGGCTGTGTACCTTTGTTTGTTGTTCGCAGTAGTTAGTGTTCAACATTACACCACATTGTTGTGCTTTTTTAATGATAGTCCAATTCAATGCTGATTAAACTTACTTTTGTTGGTCTGGGAGCATCGTGTTAGTGTCAGTGTGTAGAGTTGGTGCTCCCAACATACCGAATAAATTACTCAGAAGTTGAGTTCATTCAGAGGTAGCCAATTCAAGTTGAATTTTTTAGTAGTTGCAAACTCATGCAATAACATCAACTTTTGGGAATGGTCAACCAAAATTCTTACGAATGTTGTCGTAACTGTCTGCTCTGGGTCTGGGATTGAAATATTATTCAAATAGTTATTCGGTGCCGGCTCTGAGTCTGAGAGTTATTCAATGCCAAACGAACGTGATAAAAAGAAACACATTTTTGTCCTCGATTTTTGCGACTCACATAGGACCACTTGTGTCTCGCAGAACTCAGCAAGTGACATTGAATAACTTTTGATGGGATTGGTTTGGTTGGCAGTATGCACATATACTGCACCAGCAATAATTTCTTGAATGAAATAGAATCATATTCAATACAGTAACCATGAGTTGAAATCAACTACACAGTGGGCATGTCCTGGAAAATTGATAGTGTAGTATACATGTAGGGTTCCTGAGAACCTAAAAAATCACTACAAGATATTGTCTGAGAATCGTCCACATGTAACTGCTATCAAAACAAAAAGATGAAAAGATCATTTTAGAAGAAAACACGAACAGCTTACAAGAAGAATATCTGTTCTTTTAACATGTTTTCCATCTGATATTGTATATCCATATTGCACTTATCATCAAAAACATACTAGTGAATATAGGTCTCTTGTTCCAATATACTGTGAAAGAATTTCATGCCCACCTAAATTGGTGTCACTTATTGATTTCTTAGTGTCCTTAGATCTCAGTGTCTTATTCTATTCAGCAAGAAGAGAATTAAAATTCTATCTCCTCCGCAAGACTGCTGGTAAGAGATTAGCGAACTTTTTCCTCAAGAAGAGTGTAAGCGCCGAGCCCACGAGTGGCCACGTTGTTATGATGGCAATGTAGGCTAGCAGCCAAATTGATTTCCTGCTGTGTCGTGAAAGCTGATCCATGTATCTTCTTACAGGAATAACTACATCGTTGATATCTTGTCCTGGGGGCTGTGGAGGGGCGTCTGCCAAACATGTTCTTTTTGGAGTTGCATCTTTGACCTTCTCACTCTGAATTGTAGGCTCATCGTGTACATCTTCAACACTTGTTTGCTCATTGCCCAATGCAGTCACCATCCCATCTTCCGTAATATTTACATATGGACCTTGGTCAATCGAAGATTCTTGAGGAGGAATTTGCATCTGCAAGACAAATAACAAGCCATGCATAACTAACAGGAAAACTGCCGACAGTGGCACATTATTATAAGCTCTCTTTCTTTCCAAACACATGCAAACACTTCATTGTTTCCTTAATCTTTTGTGAAAACTTATTTTCCTTTTGTTTTTTTCCTATTTCTTTTGTTTGATTCAGAAGCTGACTAATAGTGAATTTTCTGTACCTCTGCCTCTTTCCTGTGAATTAATGAACTCGAGTGCAGAATACTGAAGAATTCATGAACAGCCCTAACCCACCTGCATGGGAGACCAATAAAAAAAAGATGAGCAACAGGACGTCACATTAACAAGCAATACAAGGTTGACTTAAAATGCTAATTAGTGTCTGACGAGTAGATATAGATGCTCGAGAAGATCTGACATCAAAACTCTGAAGCGAAGTGTACTTGTGTGATTTGATGCACTAGTCCATGTATGTACACATTTTGTGTGCTTTGAAACTCTATAACTTACATTTTAGAAAATGTCCCAAAACTTGAATCACTAAGTATAGAGTTTCTTTCCTGCAACTTACTACCTTCAAGAAATTTTTACTTTTGAATGTTCATAAAGTGACTATATATCTCAGAAAGCAAAAAGTATACAATTTCTTGACACATGAATGTTTGCCACTTAATGAGCTTTACTTGGCAGCAAAACAATTGAGGCTGGAACAAGCACCTACCTCAATTATGTGATGGGGATTCTATAGTTAACATCCAAGTAAATGTAGGGTTACTGTAATATTCAAATCAGTAAAAACAACAAATGCAATAAAAAAATGAGAACTTTAAACTTACCAGAGGCTCTTCGCAGCTATCCCTTCGTAAAATGCTAGGTGTCCTCCATGATGCGTAGTAGCTAGAACAATGTTTTTATTTGCCCTATAGATGGATAACATATCAGGTCAGCTGATCATAAAATACCAATGACGAGCATACCCATAACTTACTGTAAGGTGTTATAATGATATGTACTGTGATATATCATAATGTTCCGAAGAAATTAAAGTACTGCAATATATTCAACATATAGGTTGAATGAGCAGCTCTGTGGTTAATGTGGACTATCAGTATCTCTCAAGCAGGAAACAACATGACCATTTTAGCCTCTGCACCAAACACTAAATGTGTCAATTTTGATAAACAACGAATATAATCTCTGAAAACTCCCATTATTTCTTGTGCTTGGCTCACCAAGAAAGCATCCATGAAAGTTAATTTTCCCTTCCTGTGAAGGGAAGTGGCTAATGTAGAAATCATTAACTACAGGTAACAGCCTTCCAATCGTTCAAAGATAAGCTCAAGGCACTGCTATGAAAGCTTTTGATTTCCATCAGGAGACCATGCAATGAACAAAAACAAGGTAGGGCATGGGAATTTATTCTAATGTGTTTCTCTTTTGGATTGGAGAACCTGCACTTTGCAAAAATCCTTCACTTACAAGCACAACAGAGCAACAAGATTGTCTGCTCCTGCTTCTTTTTTCTTTTTCTTGTCTTAATTCATCTTTTTATTAAGCATTCTATATATATATATATATAATAAGAAAAGAAAAGAATAGCTTTACACTTTGAAAGTAATATGGCCAAAAAGTGATGAGGACCATCGATGCCCAACTATCTGATACAGACAATCTAACTTCAGTCAAGAGGCTGAGTTGGAGGTCTGTCAAGTCCTCTTTTTATGGAGACATGCAACAGCTTCTTGCAATGTTCTGTGGACCCATTAATTCTAATTTGAGGGTTACTTACCTTCAAAAATTAGTGAAGCGGCTGACAAGGAAGTACCCAAAATCCATGTGGATGCATATGTGTACATGAATGATACCAAAAGCATGAAGATTTTCAATTCTGCCCATTTGGGCCAGACAGCTAAAACACGGGAGTTTTGTGCAACTTCACTAAGATCATGTACTATGAAACGGTGCATAATTCTCATGAAATTAAAATAGATTATTTGAATTTTACTTTAATATTTTAGGTGAACTTCCCAAATTATTAGAATTTGAAACAGTAAAACAAAGGATTTCAAGATAATCTATAGTTTAAAACAAGAAAATCAGTACTCCATACCTGCATTCATCCCAAGGGATGGCTTCTCTTGTGCAGACTGGATCATCTAGAGTGCTGATGCAGAGAAGTGGCACCATTACATTACCCACAAAATTAGTGCTACTGTTGTGCCTGTAATATGTATCCACCGTCTGGGAAACAAGTGAATATCCTCAGTAAACCATTCGAGCATGTGACAATAAGTCAAAAGATTATACCTCATATTTTCCAAGGACTCGAGTTGCATAATTGTCGAAGTCTCGAACAGAACGTGACTGTTAACACAAACAAAAATGACCCATGAGTTCATATTAGTAGAAATGGGAGGTTTCTAAGTTCTAATAATGGACCACCACCCAAACAATTCATAGATTATCAACCAAAATTTAACTCACAACTTGTTTAGATACTTCCTCAATGCGGGACTTCATTTATTGCATACAATTTCTACGACAGAAAACTCGGAAGGATAATATATCTCCTAATAGGTGTGTAGGGAGACTCCATACCAACACTAATTCATATTTATTCATGAGATAACTACACTATCCTCAGGAAAGACCCGATAACAACTTTGTAACCTCAAGATTTTTGCTTCTTTAATTTTATTTTAGAATTACTGTTTTCTTAAGGAGACGAGACGAAGCTATAGCAACAGATTAAGGAGAGAACACATGTGACCTTTTCAATGCCTTCCCAATCTGCAAGACGGGATATGACGGTCTGGTGCCTACAATGAAATTCAGATTTGGTAACATAAGAAACACAGTCTAAAATCTTAAGAGATGACAATACAAAAAAGGATAAAGAGAGATACAAAGAAGCAATACATAAGATAATTGCATTGAGAAACACACACAAATATGAAAATTCAATGTGATAAGACCACCTTTTTTTTGGTAAAAAAACAAAGCCCATTTAGTACACATTAATGTGTTTGGGAGGGAAAAGATTGGGTACAACTTTTGGGATAGTGCACAAAGTGGTTGCCCCACGACTTAAACCCATAACCTCAAGGTTATTAGGCCAAGGTTTTTTACCATTGAACCAATGGTCAGCCCTCCTTTTTTTTTTATGGTAATTATAAAAAAATAAAAAAAATAAAAAAATAGGACTTGATGATAGGGTAATGCAGACTTACAACTGAGCATAACCTTTTAGGCCAATAGTTAGAACTTTGTCATAGAACTTCTGCGCCATCCTACGGTTAATAAACCTGTCACATATCTGCGAAAAGAAAAAAAATAATAATAATAAAAAGAGAATGTAACTTGGAATGAAAGAGTGGGACTCCTAATGAAGTCATCAACAGCAGGATTAGCAGCTGTCAGACACTATCATATTTTTCCTGCTTTCCAAGGTTAGTATAGTTCTAATAATAAAGTAAATAATAAATAAACTTCGGTTACCATCAAGAAAGAATAGTTCTTAAAACTCGACATATCTAAAACTTTCAAGTCAATTTGTATAATTTGATTTAGTTGATATCATGTAAGTTCTTTGCTTATGAATAAAGGAGCAGAAAGAAGAAGAAAACTAGGTTCCATACAAGAGAATGCTAGAAGGCATTAAAAAAAAACTGTCCTTATGATGTCAGAGAGCTAAACACAAAGAATGCTGACATATTACCCGCTTCATATGATAGGAACCTGAGAATAAATTCACACAAACTGAACTCTCAGACACATCAACAAAAAAAAAAAGAACAACGCCCAATTAGTACACATTAATGTGTGTTTGGGAGAGAAAAAATTAGGTACACACCTAACCTTTGACATAATGTACAGAGTGGTTGGCCCGGGACTTGAACCCATAACCTCAACATTATTAAGTCAAGATTTTACCATTGAACCAATGGTCACCCCTAAAATGAAATTGATAAACAAGTTGAGAGGTTCTAAAAGTGTTTGCCCCGATACTTGAACCATAACCTCAACATTATTAGGCCAATATGTTACCATTGAACCCAATACTTGAACCATAACCTCAACATTATTAGGTCAATATGTTACCATTGAACCAATGGTCACCCCTAAAATGAAATTGATAAACAAGTTGAGAGGTTCTAAAATTGATGGCTACGGTGGAGCAAAACCAATAAATGGTTAGCTGGACTGCTCTAACATTAGTGAGTATAAATAAGTAGCATACAGGAAATTTACAAGAACTGCGTGGGAAAGAAATTTTCTCATGTAATCACTATCAGTCACAACATATAACTGAAGTACCAACCAAAAGGTCCCAAGGAGAACAGACAGCTGCAGCACCAGCAATAGGGGTTTTAACATCATCCTCGCCCAGATATTTTACCTGAAAGGATTAATCCTTATCAACCAATAAAAAATAGCACAATACGAAAATTAGACTATTGGTACACCAATTTGACTTGCCAAGATGAATTCAAAGACAATTTACAGAAAATTGTCAAATATTTTTACACTCCATTCATCAGTAAAGCCCAAAAATAATATTTTCAAACTTGTGGTAAGATCACAAAAATGAACAAAGAGAATTATTTCCAATTTGAGTGGAGCCAAGATAATGTAAGGCATACAAACCAACAGGTAAACTGCCCATAACGCTCCAGTTAAGTGTTTGATCAAACTACCAAATTTAGGGAGGTTCAAACGAACCCAGTTATACATGGGAAAGGTCCAGATCAAGCCTCCTTCACGTTTGAACCCACAACCTCAAGGTTGATAGGCTGGGCTTTAAATAAATAGTTATATTCAATAGTAAATTCAAGAATTCTTAGTCAAATTTTTATATAAAGGCTCTGTAAAAATATATGTATTATTGATTGATATCTGATTGATATATTGTAGTGTTTACATTGATTCCTATATATAGGAGATGTGGTAGTAGGTGTAGGAGTGAAGTGGAGGTGGTAGGTGGAGTGTGTGATAGTGGAGGTGGTAGGTGGAGATAAATTCTAACAGCCCCCCGCAAACTCAAGGAGGATAGAAACTAACCAACTTGAGTTTGGAGAGAGGAACAAAACAAGAAAATACATAAAAATAAAAAAAAAAGATAGGAGACACTGTATGGCCGTGTCAGACCGTTGTGAAGACACTGTATGGTGGTGTCATAACGTTGTAGAGGACACTATATGGTGGTGTCATAACGGTGTAGAGGACACTATGCGGCCTATAAAAGAGTGAGGGCTCATTTGCCTCACAACTTGAATCAACTTCTCACATCAATGGACTTAAACAACTTGAAACACTTTGGGAGAATGCATTCAATTCAATAACGGAAAATGTTTGAAACCTTAATAAACCCTCCACAATTTCACCCACAATATGTGGGGTCTACTTCCTTGTCACATTGGTGTATCTGTTTTCCCAATAAGATTGCAGTTGTCATAGACGTTAAATCTAATAGATGTGTACATATTTGTAATCCTGAAACTGCATTGTGCAGTATTACCAAATGTAATTGAGTGGGCATAATTCCCCTGCTCCTTTACTCAATTCAAGGCGTCTTCTAATCTTCCGTTTGACTGGAAAGAATGGGTTGATGATTTTACTACTTTACCTCAAATTTAAATTTAAGTTTTTCTTTTGGTTGTGCTTCATCATCTTTGTGAAATTGAATGTTTAAAGATTGCAAACTGCCTAGAAATTATGGAAGTGGTCGAGCAATTTGCAACCATTGGAAATTAGAAACTTCTGCCAACACTGAGAAAAGTAGTACTTTGTGGCCTGTCAAATTGAGAAGTATTTGCGCAGACATTGAAGTGACCAGCCTTGGAGAAGCTCATTTTGTTAAATTAATTTCTATTTTTTCAAAAAAAAATTAGAAATTTTTTTTTTTATATTTGAAATATTTTTAGAAAATAAAATCATGTATATCTATTATGTTGAATAATTTTATTTATGGTTACACAGACCTTTATACCAAATAAAATTTAGAAATTTTAAATTTTAAAATTTTGGTTGATTTTAATTTAAATTATTTTTTCATTAATGGAGGAAGTTTTTTACCACACATATCAATATCTCATTTGTTTTTCCAACTTTACATCAATTCCAACTTTGTTTTAACTAGACCTAATTACAACCATCCTAAGCATCCGTATCCACCTTACAATTTAAGTTAGCATGGTATGCTTTGGATTGGTTTGGGATGAAATCAGAACCAATTTATTGTTCACAATTTCATAAAAATTGAAACAAATCAAATCATTCAAATCATAGAATCAATCCGAATCAAATCATTTAAACACAGTTCGGTTCAATTTGAAACCACAGTTTTATATAATCTGTTCACAAGAAAAATCATATAATATATCATAAATTTTAAAAATAATAATAACAAAATTCATCAAACAAATTACTCTCATAATATTCACTAGTTAAGCCGAGGGGATTTGGTCAAAGCCCCTTCATAATGAAATTTTAATGCATTAAGAATAAATACAAAAAGTTTTTCTAGAAAAGTCCACCACATACCACTATTACTAATATATCCTTAGTGATTAATTTAATATTTTAAATTTTAAAATAATATAAATTTTGATCTAGAAGTCGATTTTTAATAAAATTAATATTTCAAGAATGTTCCCATTAAAATCTTTCAAATAAGATCTATATTGACTATGAAATTTGTAAAAAAAAAAAAATACCGTCAAAATTAACGTAAACAGTAACATGTTACTGTCTTCTTAAACAGAGCATAAAAAAAAAAAAAAGAGTATGAATTGTAGGAAGCTCTACAAGTTCTTCCATTACAAATTCATAAACAAATCAACAATAATCAACAAACAACAATTCAAATCAACAACTATTCAACAAGAAGTCAACAAGAATACATGTACCATCAAGTACCGAAAATTGTCTCTTCTCCAGAGACTTGTTATTGGAAATTGATTCATTAAGCTCTTCTTCAAAAGCATAAATACTATTCTCTTTTGTTTCCAATTCAGATTGCAACTTTTTCATTGTAATCTCATATATCTTCATCAAGTTTTGGAAATTTGTGTTAATGTATATAATAAGATGGTGGCATGTATATAATATGATAGTGGTGTTGGTGGTAGATAGTGGCATGTATATAATATGATAGTGGTAGATTGTGGTAATATATAATATGTAAGTGGCATATAATGGGTTATGATGATGTTTGTAATATCTCCTATATAAGGAGTGTCATTTGGTCTTGTAAGATAAGAAGTTTTGAATATAACAGAAATATATTCCTTCTTCCTCATATTTTCGGAGTTCTTCTTCCTCATATTTTCTAAGTCTAACCATGTTTTTAACAAGTCCAAATCAATGGAAACACACTATCTCACTCCTGAAGAAAATGAAAACTTTGAATACTTGCAAAAGCAAATGGTCCATCACAAAAGTTTCTAGCTTAGCCGCGATTTAATAAATCTAGCACAAGAGTTTTCCAGTGAGATTGAAATATTTAAATTTACAATAAGAATCGAAACAAACAAAAAATGGGGAGAATCTGGTAGTTGCTGCATTCGGACAAGCTGACAGCCAATTGTGTCCAACACAAATATGTCATGCTATAATGTTTGACTGACAAGATGGAACCAGCTATTCGAGCTAAAAGGTCACAACATGGTACAATCAATAGAATACTAATCAACAAGAGAGCACAAAACTCATTGATCAAAAAATTTACAAATACTTTGAAGCTAAGGCTACATACAGATTTGAAATATGTTTGTTGTTTCAACCTCCAAATAGACTGGATATAAATGTTTTAGATCTTAACTTTGGGTGATTAAATGCTCACTGCAATTGATGAGCTCACCCGTGCCATAGAGAATCTTTCTATGATTGATCACTAGGAAATCTCAATTTACATCTTATAAGGTTGATGTGATGAAGGTTTGTGAACAAGATGTCATAGAGACAGTGTTATTACACCTACAGCAATAAGAAAACTATTGTAACAAATGTAAAAAGGTGAATTCTATTTTGGTGTCTTTATTTTTAGAGTTGTAGTGGAAGAACAAGGGATTTTCTGTCTCTTTTTTGTGAATTTACTTTTTTGTCCAAAGTTTCTCTTTACTTGTAGACCTCCTACCAGTCCTAGTTGAATGTTATTTGTTTAAGAATCAAGATGACTCCATTAAGCATAATTCTAATTGTAGTTTAGTCAACTCAGAGGGGTCAGATCCTAGGGCCTTGATTTTAAGTTAGGTAAAACACATCTTGTTCTCTGACTGGGAAATTGTTTTGGGTGCTTGTTGAAATCAAAAGAATCTAACGATTGAGCCCTTGTGTTTTACTGCCAGTATAATAATTGCCACAACAAGGTTTCTTATCAAGCCACCCATGGCCACTTGCTATGTATAAATGTCTCTGATTAATCACCACTAATTCTCATATCCCAACTAGTTGGAATTGATCTTCTAGGTGAAAGTGATCTAGCGGCTGATGCAAGACATTTTGATGCACTGGAAGTGTCACTGTTTTATACACTTGTACAAAGACTTTGTACAGGAAAATGGTGTAAAGAAATCTAGGTTGAATGCGAGAAAGGCTGTGCAGTTTTAGCCAGGCTTCCTGATAAGGATGGTTGTTTTTCGTAGTCCTTGTCCTCACCATTGCTTTACTTTTGGTATGTGTCAAGGGCTTTTCCTCGGGAGTTGTGCCGATCGCTTTTAGTTACATTTTCAAGAACAGTGGCAAACAGTGGGTAATGAAAAGAATATCAAACTTTTTGTAGTACCCTAAATCCTATTTGATCTTCTACTAGGTCATCACATCATCTTAATATACTACCATACCTCATGATGAGTATCAAATATCCAGTGCACCCTACAGAATATTATTGAATTCTACCAAGTAATTTAATATGCTCACAGTTACAACGAAGAAAGGTGTGCGTGTGCCTACCCTGTTCTAACCTGGTCGTTGGGCGACGATACATTGGGCCATGAAGTTAAAGGTAACGAATCACCTCAATAAATATCAAAAACATTCCATTGTGACCAACATTTTGTTTTGGAGTTTCATTTCAATGAAACTGACTCACAAGGTGAATAATGGCTCTGAATGGTTTGTAAACCATGCTATGAAATGAAGCTGAGGCTTGCCGTTATGAGGTTTCAGAGTGTCAATTTGTGATCCCTTTTGGCAGCTGATATTCGTGGGTTTGCATCCTAAAAAATTCATGTTTATTAATGCTCTGACCTTCCATATGGGGGATGAAGAAAGAAAGAAAAAGAAAAGCAAAATCTACTCTTCCACCAATCCCATTTATAACAAGGTTATATTACCAGTAAAATGCACACTTTACATTGCATCAAATTCATGTGAAATTAGTTCATAGCAGGGAAAAACGTAAAAGGAGAAAAGTCAATTTACCGTTAGAATTCATCAGCCAATCCAAAGCCATTGTTCCACCATCAGACAAATGAAATAGCTGTCTGTGCACTGTAATGCATTAGTACTAGCTAAATAAATTGTTGTAATATAAGAAAGTAATGTGAGAAAATGTCTATGGTGTGCAACTGTGTAACCTTCAAAATCAGAGACCAGTGTGTCCTGGTTTATTTTTACCCATATAATGAGATGCAAATTGCAAACTTCCATGAGATTCTGAATTGAGCTTTCAAAGAAGGAGAATATAAGAAATGAACTGTACAAGTAAAGACATCAAGGCTCACTTTGTTATAACATTATTTACTACAAAAGATCACATCCAATTGGTACATGTCTATCAAACATTTGCAATTTGTACAATCATGTTTGGTAAAGTCGCCTTGAACAAAAGATGATAAAAAAGCCTGAATACAGCATCTCAAATACATTACAGTATCAATGCTCCTCTCAACTCCATGCTTCACACAAGGGATTTAATAAAACCACTATATGTTACCTTTACCATGTTGCATAAAGAATGATCAACGCTAATGAACACATCTAAGTCACAACAAAGGTTCATAAGTCCTCTGTCAAGAAAGCCTAGCTACTTATATCATCTTCACATACAGGAGTACATAAACCGCTAAAACAATTTATCACCTTCTGTAGTTGAACGTAGGAGGCTGACCAAAGAAGCTCAAAAAAAATGTCTGAAGATGAGGACTAGAAAGCCATGGAGTTGACAAATACCTGTCACAAAAATTTAGGAGAGCCAATAAAACAAGATAAATAAAATACAAGCGTTATATATCAATGCTAAAACTAGAGCCATCATATGTGCCATCATTGTCTTAATATTATCAAAAATAAAAGGGTAAATTACACTCACCTCCCCTGTGGTTTAAGGAACATACAATCAGCTCCACACTTTTGACATAATTACACTGACCTCCCTATTAAGTGACCGAAATTAATGCAGATGGTAGATAGATATTGACATAAACAAAGATTGATATACACTTTAGTAAAAAATAGATGACAACATCATTTTTTTCATTCATATGGCTAATGAATTACTAACAAAAAATATCTAACCCTTATGTGAATTAAAACCTCAAGAGAGAGGAGAGGCAGTGTAATTAAATTTTCTCCAATTAAGGTGAGCATGAGTGTAATTTACCCAAAATAAAAAGTAATGCCATAGAAAAGTGAGATCAAGTAGAAGCTACAACTTTTTATCTTTTTCAGTATTTTTCTTCTCTCTCCACTAATCCAAGATCCAAACACAGAGTAAAAGTTGAAGCCTAAAGCAAGAACTTAAACCTCAAACTTCAGAGTAATCTTCCACATCTAAAAGTAAAATAAAACTAAAAGAAAAGAAAAAATAATACAGCACCACTGAAACAACTGACCACACATTGTTATTCAAACATGGCAACAGCAAGGAATTTATTCTTGAAAGCCAAATTACTATTCTACAATTTGGAAATACATATTCGATTGAGGTGTATATGCTACTTTCTTAAAGACAATTAACAATCGCACAATGTAACCATTGAATTCAAATACAATATATATATATATATATATATATATCAAATTGAAACCTAATTGCCATTGATATTAACGAAGTTTTGTTACCTTCCATGAAGAATTGGACACTTGGAGACGACTTCTTGGTAGACATCGGAGCAAGAATTGAAGATCAACGACACGGGCTGTCCAGTGAAACCGGTGAAAAGGTCTCCAAGAAAATGAATCTCGAGGAAATTGTACAAATAAACCAAACAAATGAATAGGAAACCCAACAAGTAATGAGAAATGGGAATCAGAGAGGCAGCTGTAAGGAGAAGTCGGTAGGGCGAATCGGAAGTTGTGATTGAGGTCGATGAATCCATGGACGACGAGTTTTGAATCTGAAAACCGTTTGTGTATGAATATGGAAGCGTTGGGAAAATCTAGAGAAATGTGGAGAGGACAAGAAACGCCGGCGGAGGTGAAACAAGCTGACGAATTTTGTACCGGTGAAAAAAGACTTTTGGGGTGTCACGTGGCGAAAATATTTGGTATTCTTTTTATTTTTTTTTAATAAAAGATTAAAAAAAAAATTTAAATGAAAATTTTATCAATATCATCAGACTACCCCTCTCATCACCACTGCCCTGTCCCACAATCACCGTGGTTAGGAATGGCAATGGACCGGGTCGAGGCAGAAGATTACACTCCTTGTCCCCGATTCCCAAATGTTAAAAAATCTCTGTCTCCACTCCCGATCCCCAAGTAGAAACCCATCACCCCCACCCCCGCCTAAAGGTCCAGATCAAGCTTAATGATGTGAAGTAATATTTACATACACAAATTAAATAAAAATATTATAAAATACAATCAAATAGGAATTTATTTTTTAATAATTATTGACTTTCTAAAATCCCGTGCATCGCACGAGTGACCACTAGTATATATATATATTTATATGTGGTAAATCTGTTCATTAACAACAACTAAAGATTTTGTTCATTATACACATACACACACACACACACATATATATATGTATATTATCTATCAGATCTAAGAAAACCCTAACAACAACAAAAATTGAGTAGACCTTAAAAAATTGAGTTGTTCTCACAGATCAGATCAGAAAGAGAGATCATCGTTGAAATTTTAGATCGGATATTCAAAATTTCAGATCTCACGCTTGGTGGTGGTAGTGGATCTGGATCTTGCGGCTGAGCAACTCCGACAATGAAGGTTTGGTTGGTGGTGAGAGAGATCATTAGATTCAATGAAAATAAGATAGGGCGGCTGTGCATGTTCGATTCGAAATGGAGAATGTGAGGTTGCGGAAGCAAAGAGGAGATTGCCGCTACGAATGTGGTAGTTGTGGCGATTGGGCAACTGTGAGAATGGTGGTCGGCGAGAAGAGAGATAAAGGGGATAAAAAGAGAGAGAGAGAGAGAGAGAAAGAGAAACCGAGAGAGAGATGAGATTGTCTGAGGCTTGTGTGAGGTTGTGTTAGGGTTTGATTTATATATATATATAGAGAGAGAGAGAGGGGTATTATAGTAATTTCAGTTCGGAAAACGGGGATAGGCTAGGGCCAGGGCCAAGGCGGGGGCTGGAGAAAGTATCACCGTCCTCGGCTTTGATTGTGCGTGTTCGGGCTCGAAACGGAGAAGATGAGATTGCGGAAGCAAAGAGGAGGTTGCGGCTACGAATGTGGTAGTTGTGGCGATTGGGCGACTGCGAGAGTAGTGGTCGGCGAGAACAGAGATAAAGGGGATGAGAAGAGAGAGAGAGAGAGAAACCGAGAGAGAGAGATGAGATTGTCTAAGGCTTGTGTGAGGTTGTGTTAGGGTTTGATTTATATATAGAGAGAGAGAGAGAAAGAGGGATATTATAGTAATTTCAGTTTGGAAAAAAGGGGACAGGCCAGGGCTAGGGCCAAGGCCGGGGTTGGGAAAAGTATCATTGTCCCTGTCTCGAAAATTGTCAAGGATTTATTTTCGAATACCATTCCTAGCTCATTAGGGGTATTTTTCGGGAAAAAACCGTTCTAATCAGGGTCGGGGGGTCGGGTTCAAATTGTCATCCTCTAACTGTGTTACGAGCATCTTAGACTCCGATTATTTGGCGAAAATATTTTTTATAAAAGTTTTTGGTATTTGGTATAACGAAAAATGAAAATTAATTTTTATTATTAATAAAAAATAAATTAATTTAAGTTGAAAATATTTTTATTTTTTAACAGATAAAAAACATTTTTTAAATTAAAATTTTACTAATGTTATCATATTATTACTGTCACTCTCACCACTACCCTCGTCCCGCCATTACCACTATCAAACATTAAAAAAAAAAAAATCAAATCAAATCAAATTAATTTTTTATAAAGTAATTACAAATAAAAGAATATTATACAAAATACTGCAAATACAATTTTTAAAATGGAGGAAAAAATACGTTTTAAGATTTGAAATTGCATGGAGTGTATAGGATGGGAAATTGGGTTGAATGACTCCCACCTTTTAGACGGTGCTTGATTAAGAGATTTAGAAAGATTTTAAAAAAAAAAAAAGTATGTGTAAAATTATGTGGAATATATATCTATATAACAAGGGAAGAAGATTTTTGAAAATATATAAAATGTCTTAGAGATACATTTTGATCCAATGGTTTAAATTATCTCATCTCAACTTCAATGGTTGAGATGTCTTTATTTCCCGCCCAAATGTTCTTTGAGCATCAACCAAGATCTAACGGTCCAAAATGTAAATTGAAAAAATGAGCAGTGGGAGTCAAGTGTTCTGTAAATCCTTCTTGGTACCTTCAGTCGCTTCGACTGAACTCATTCGATTCAAGTTTTTCAGAGCTTAAACTTCCTCATCCAATCCTTGGCCACCGAGCCTCCTTCTTCATCCTCTAATGGTGATTCATCCTCAATCCCTGCTTCTTTTGCCATCAATTTTCTCTCTCTTTGTCACCGTCTCAAGGTATTTTTGTTTAGATATGTATATATGTATGATTCATGTGAGTGTTGATTGTTTTGGACTCGAATATCATTGCCTAAATTTGTGATTTTGTTTTTTGGGTTTGGGGGTTTTTTGGGGTTTGATCAGATGACGAAGAGAACGGGATGGATGCGAAGGTGTTGAGAATCCAGAGTCCATAGCCGATCATATGTATCGAATGGGATTGATGGCTCTCATTGCCTCTGACAGACTTCTCTCTGGCATCTGTATATATGGTACTATGAATATGTATGTATAGATGAAGTGTAGAGATGCATAGTTGGGAATAAATTTGCAGCTCATGTGCTTCTCCTCTCTAACAGGGCATGGTATGTGTAGAGTAATATTTTGCAATATTGGGGTTTGTGTTGGGTTAATCCCTGCAATCTTTAGGGATTGGTGGTTTAGTGGTTTGAACTAAAACATGAGGGTTTGAGAACATAACCTGGGAATTATTGTTCTACTAGGTTTTATGCAGCCTATGATTATTAAAGAATGAAGAAGTTTTCAACAAGAAGCTGATCCCCTGGATTGATTTACTGGAGATAATTGGTATTAATGTGTTTTGGGTGTCTTTTCTCAATTCCCTTTCAATTTGTCCATTGCAATGTCTATTATTATTATTATATTATTGTCAATAAATTACTTTTTTTTTATATTTAAAAAAAAGAGTATAGATTTATGGAGGAATAAGAGAATGAAATTGCTTAGATGAGTTGGCTGATTTTGTGAGAAGTTTATATTCTCTCTTTACCTCATTGTAGGTGTGGTGATTGTAGTGGGAGAGTGTCTTCCATTGCTAGAAGAGAACCCCTTGGGAAGAGGAGACTTGGTTTGCCAAAAAACAAAAAAACGGTGCCATTTTTAGGAGCAGCAAGGAAAGTGTCACAACAGTGACCCATTCTCCTCCTGCTATATCTACACACAAAATGAATCATTTATAGTGACTAAAAATTGGTCATCAAAGGATATCCAGAGTCCAAGTTAGGGTTTCTGTTACTTTTAGTTTTTTTGTGTTCCATCTGGGTTATTTGTTATTGTTGCATTTTCTAAAGATTTTAACATTTTTTGCTCTTTTTTTTTTTTTTTTCAAATGTCAGGTGTATAAAAATGGCAATTGTCCATGATATTGCAGAAGGTAATAGCTTTGCATTTAAATTTTTATTTATCTATTAGGTTCTCATATGTATCCTTTGGCTGATAAAGTATGCTTCATAAAAGAAAAAGGGTTAATTACACTTTTATCTCCTTCACTATCACCATTTTTTTTTAGTTTGTCCGTAAACTATCATGATTTGAGCTCATTTGTCCGTAAACTATCACCATTTTTTTCCCTTTTAGGCTGCTTAAAATTCAGAAATTTTTATGCTTTTTATTTATAAGCATGAGGCCGCGAGTTGTGGGTTCCTCAACCTTGAGGTTGTGGCTTCAAAGACAACCATTTAGTACAAATAATGCCAAAGCTAGGTAACCCAATCTATCCCCTCCCAGACCCCTATCCAAGGGAGACTAAATTGGGCTTACTTTTTTTAAAATTTATTTATAAGCATGGAAAAGATCACTCTTTGTGGAGTCAATGCAATGCATAGCAACTTTCAAAAGGTTGCCAGGAATCTTAATAGATGCAGAACATGGATGCATGGTCAATGAATGATATAGTTTTGCTGGAGTTGGATGCTTAATCCATTTGTGTGTGTGTGTGTGTTTTGGAAAATGTGATGGGCATTTGCTTCTTATTTAGATTTATCAGATTTCTGCTTTGAGATTTATTATCCTTCAGTCCCATTTACAGCAGTTGGATTGTGAAGTACCTGGTCAATTTTAGTCCCATTTTATCTTTATTCCCTGACGTAGTAAACACAACCATTACTAGATTCTGTAAATTTTACGTGCTCTGTTATTACTAGGGAGCAAATGAAAAAGATTTTACTCTGGTTTCAGTTGTTCCTGGCAAAGTTATTTTTTATGATCTCAACTCCAAGACATTGAAGGAGCTTCGAGATTGTTCGCCAGAGGATCTTGAAAATTGGGAAGCATCTTGGTAATATGTATCCATTCATTTAAAGCCTATCACCTGTTTGATCAACGTCCTACATGTTTCAGCAGATAAGTCCCTCAATAAACTCTTTTAAATTTCTATCTTCTTAAAAGTTTTAGTTATTTTATTGGTATGTGATGCTACTACTATTATCTTTTAATTTATAGATTCTGTTTTAAGCTTGCATTAGAAATAAATTCTTCATTGATCAATTAAGGCCGAAATACAATTGATGTGTATAGTTCATTCCACAGTTTACTTCCCTTGCCTGCAGTTCTAGAGGCTAGAGAGCATCAGCTTGATTATCACTTTTGAAAGTGCTTTATGTTAGAGCCCTGTTTTGACCTCTATTATACATTAACTCAAGTATCACTTAGATTGTTCTGATTGCCAAAGAGATTATGTTGGACTCATTCACTCCATGGTCAATAGCGGAACTATAGAGGGATTGGTGGGAGCCAC